CCCCGGCGCTATGCATTTTTTCTGGGGAGAACCCTGATCATTTAGAATGGTGACCTGAAACCAAATCATTGTACATGAATGAGAGTATTACTACCTGTACTAGTACAGGCATGTACTGATGTGGGAGCTTTGTCAAATGAAGAGGACATTATTTTCCTAACCATTGCCGTGTCAAACAGTACAGTGTTACACAATTCAGGGTTCATTTAAGCTCAAGATTTAATTGCCTAGCTGCTGCATTAGAGTGCCTTTCTCAGGATTCTAGCCAGATTTGAATTTTATTTTACATCTTTCAATGTAAAATTAATCTGCTTTGATGAAAATGAAAAATAGATGCACATTATTTTCGCAATCACATTTGAAATACGTTTTTTGAAACATTGACCTCTGACCTGGCAGCCATTTTTTTTTTAAAGCATGTCGTCTGTTGAAACAATGGAATGCTGGCAAATGACACTAATAGTGAGAAATAAGTATTCCTTGTATTGCTTACTCAACATAGCTTCTGAATTTAATATTATGAACAAGTCATGAAAACAAAATCATCAACAAAGCTCAATACACTCGAGTACAAGTGCAGATTAAAAAAACAACAGTTTGACAGCAACGTGTTTTTTGTTCAACTCAACAAATCCAACACAGTTAAACTGCAATGGTAAGCCTTCCTTCTGTTTATTTAACACGGTCTTTCCTTCCATTATCTTGATGTGTGTGTTATCGAAAATGTAATTTGAATGGCCAGTCACATGTTAAACACTAACATCATACATACTGCCACATGTAGTGTCACTAACAGTGTGGATTAACCTATTATTGAAAGACAATTTAAAGAGTAGCATGGCGGTTTAAAACACGTCTTAAATTTTGCCCAACTAGTAAACTAATCTTATTCTGAGTTTTTAATTTAGTGAAACAAGTCTGGTAAAGATTGAATAAAAGTAAATAAGTTCACCAACATCACCATTGAGTGTAATTAGCATATTGAAAAACTTGCTGCCTTTTTTCCCTCTCATGCCTGTTAAGTTTAATTACGAATAACAATAAAACTAGCATAGTCACCTGTTTTGGAGTCATTTTTTTCTTTTTCAATCTTTTGGCAGGTTTCTCAATCGGTATATCATATGTTCCCGCCTTGCGTTTGAATGGTGAAAGGCTACATCTTGATAACCCTCCAAAAGAACTCATCGTCATGCTACCAATTCCTGATGATGACGTTGAAAATGAATTTAGCGATGAAGGAGTCACAGGTTGAACTGGTGAGAAAGGCAAAGCTTCTGGCATAATTAACTGTTCAAATCCAAACAAGTCTTCGGAACAGTCTTTTTTCACACAACTGCTAGGAGTAGAGGTATCTGATGCACTTAGTTTCATAACTCTCTGAATGTCCGGTGACACAAACATCCCACTGTCATTGAGGTTAGGTTTCAGAGAACCACTAGGTCTTCTGTAGATTACCTTTGGTTTGGAAAAACTGTGTTTAGTTTCATTACCAGAGTCTGATGAGTCTGCATCTGAAAATGATAAATTATTTTTTTTTGTTTAGGAGATGCTATATTGTTTACATTTTTATTTTAGTGTTTTTCTTTCACTTTTTACACTGATAAAACAGCAATAAAAGAAAATCAAATCCTGTACTGTGAAATACTTTATTTTAGGTTGAATTAATTTTCGCTGAAAAGACTTTTTGAGTGTTTTGTATGGAATTTATTTTTACTGATTTTTGATGATTTGAATGTAAAATATAGAAAAAAAGGTATATTCGCTGGATTTTATTTTCACTGAATCACTCCTTTAGCGAAAATTAATTCTAAGCGAAAATAAAGTATTCTACAGTATCTCATAATATTTTCAATAGAATCACTGTATAGAAATAATAACCAATAAAAACCAATCAGTTATATATATGTATATAATTGTATTTCATTTTTCCAGGACAACTCACCTCTCTTTTTGCGAGTATTGTACCTTCTTGAGGGTGACAACACCTGTCTATTATCTTCCCCACTGTCCATATCATGTGATGAAGTTGACAGTTGTGTTGGCGACTTCATTGGCTCAGACTGGCTCTGTGTTTCACTGCTGCTATTCTCAAAATCACCATCATAGGCATATGGGTCTGCCACCTAAAATATTAAACATATACAGTAAACAGCTTTCATTTCCCAACACCACTTCACTGGGGTCTCTTTGCAGTTGAGTAATCCATGTGTAATGCAGAATGAGTGTACAATATGATCTTGCACATAAAAGTGAGTCTGCTTCCTACTTCCATGATTGAGCATCTTGGCAAAAAATTAAAAGAATGGAAACCCTGACATGTCTATTACACACAATTAGATTATATTACACATGAAATAACACTCACTGGTATTCTGTTTTCATTTTCATTGTGTTCACTAACTTCTGTATCAGTACTGGATTTCTGAAATGCCAAGGAACAAAAATTATGATTTTCTAGATTTTGGACAATATATTTGACCAAAAATGACAACTGCAAACAAACTGATTTACGCTATTAATTTATTATGGAGATGGAAAAATACAGAACAAATAAAGTGCACCTACCAAAATACGTAGACTCCTTGGTATTCTACGTAGAAGTACTTTACATGTAGCACCAGAATCTTTGTCATCAGACGAGGAATCTACAATGATAATGAGATAACTTATTAGAAAAGGATTGTCTTTTGACTGATACATTTACTAGTGTGTCATGTACGACTGGGAAGATATCGTTTCACAAAGACTTGCAAAGCAGAATTATACAAATATGACTAGCCACATAGCAAGTGATTTTCACACTGCAACAAGGAATGAGGTGGATTTCATGTAATATTAAATTTACAAATAAATGCAAGATAAATCAAGAATGTACTTGATTTTCATCAGTAAAAAATTTACAAATTATACTATAGTTTGTAGAAAAAAATTTTTGGTTGACACCAGGATACTATGCTATATGATTCTCCTGCTCTGAAAGCTATCCACTGTCTGGTATATAATTACACGGTACCTGTTATCGATGCACTAACATGTTCACACACAACACAGGGAGTAGGAAAAATGTTTAAAAAAAAAAAAAAATATTTGAAATTTAGTTTGTTTTATCTACCCCTCCTATTCTTCCTGCCATTGCCCTAGCTGCCTAATTTAGACAATAGAATGCTCTGCTTATCAAATGTTATCTAATGTTAATATATTAAATCATAGACCTTAGAATGAATTATTCTAAGGTTTATGATTAAATGCACAACGAATGTAGATAGATAGATAGAATTTTTTATTTGGAATGTACCAATGAAATCTTGAGTAAAGTCCAAAAATAACAAAACAAAACATTCAGAACAACTAAAACTTACAGTACTAAAACATATCAAGAATATAGAAAATAAATTTTGCAAAAATGCTAAGAATGAAAAAATCATTACTTGAAACAATAATAGGAAATAATTCATCCATGCTAAAATCCTCCAGCTTTGGGGCATAAATGTATAGAGCTGCAAGGAATCTAGATCTTTGTTCTTTGATTTGACAATTATTACAATTTAAAATGTAATGTTTCTCATCACCTACTTCATTGCATTCATGGAGATTACATAGCCTGTTTTCCTTCAAAAGTGCCTTTATGTCTACCCATGCTACCGGATTCAATGGGAAGACATTGTGCCGAAGTTCTAAATTTAGTACAAGTTATTCTATGATTTTTATTTTTAATTTTTTCTAAAAACTGTTCAAATTCAAAATTTTCTTTAGAACACCTGTAAAAGTCAAGCTTACAATTGTTCAACAAATTGTTTTTCCACTTCATATGGTACTGTATGACTCGCTATCTTGTTAACAAATTATTTTTTTGTAATTTGTGTACTTGTCTCCCACAAAATATTTGAGTTGTATATAATTTTATTTACTAGTACATTATCACGTAACACAAAAGGGCAGGCTTTTACCCTATATACCCCGGCCTGCATGTATTCATGGTTTTTTTTAGCTCCATGATGTAATATAGCAAACAGTGATTGAACAAAATGCGGAAGACGCTACCATTTATTGACATTGATTTCAATGAATCACTGTTTTTTTATATATATATTTCTCCTTGTACTTTGTGACCATTTTCTTTCCCTCCGGGGATTGTGTAAGAGTCAATAAGTAAATAAATAAATAATCATATACAATTAGTAAAACATTGCGAGCGGGGTGCGAGTAAATTATAATCTGTATCTCGTATGTTTTTTTTATATATCGGGAAATGCAATCACATGTACAATTTATATATACCTCCACACTGACGCGCCTTTGTCCCTTTTTTCGATGTTCGCGTTTTTGACTTGGTTGTTCGAGTCTTTGGCGGCATACTGCAAACTCAGTTGTATGTAGTCGATGACGAATGGGAGTAAACTGTTCAATATATGGTCATTAGACGCTAAAAATATGCAATGGTGAGTGAAACGTCTTCAGAATATAAAAACAACGCCACAGTGTTACAAAATGGCAGCATTTTGAACTAACCGCGGAAATAATGATGACGTCACACAAATTGCGCCCTCGTGCGATATTGTAAATTTGGGCCGGAGGGGTCAGAGGT